CACCTGAAGTGACCCATCTCCTCGTGGGCAAAAGTCAACCCAAAAGGGATTGGCCCAAAGCAAGGCCTGAAAGCTGCCACAAGACTAAAGCACCTTCTGGCCAGGACCCATGGAAAAGGGTCAGACATGGCCAGACAAATCTGGGAGGAGAAGAGCAACATCAAAATCAACATAAACACTGCCATAGTCACCTCCCTACAGGTCTCTCACCCACATCTGCCTTAACCAGTCCGGAGTCAGGAAACAAGCCTGGCTTCTTCATCACACGCTTGCTGCTCCGTGTGTTTTCCTCAGGTCTCCTCCTTGTTCTCCATCCTGCTTCCTTTTCTTCTCTCTTCTCTTCTGATTCCTTCTCTTCTCTCCTTTTTCTCTGCTCAGCTCCACCCTCCTTCTGGGTGGAGCAGGGAACCTGGAACTTTCCCTTTTCCCCTGTTACACAGGGGGTGGGAACTGCAGATGGTCATGGTGTGGGCAGAGTGGAGAGTGACCCCATTTTCTGAGGAAAGGAGGGATTCTGAGGTCTTGGGAAGCCTCAGAACTTTGTGAAGACTTGGGGAGTTCTGTTTCAATGGGCAAATGTTTTCCTTCAAATTATCTTTTCCTTGATGTGAGTCAACAACAAAATCAGAACATCTACTGTTATTAGTAACAGGTGAAGGAATGGAGGAAGTAACTAACGCAGGCCTGAGCAAAACTAGACTAGCCCAGGCAAGCACCCACCCCTCGCCCCATACTCCTGGAATGCAGGATAGGTTGAAGAGGGACAATGTACATTTAAAACTGATTGGATAATGGTAATGGTGTGGCCCAGGCTGATTGGATCTGGGGCACCAGGAAATGAGACATCTATTCCTGGAAACCTGTCATTGGGTGGTGGAACTGTGACCCAGGCTGTGATGTCTGTTAATCCTTGAATCCATTTGCGAAGTTGAATCTGGGCGGGCTCTGACGTATGTAACGGCCAACAAGGCCAATATATTCCTTGACTTTTCTTTGGTCGGAGTCTTGCCTGAATCCTGCATGTCTGGCAGGGACGGCTTGACCCTGGCTAGCCAGCCCAATAAACTCTACTTTGCGAATTGCATTCTTGCGTGACACTCTGTCTTTCGCGGTAATCGAGTTCTCGGACCCTAACACAGGCTCCTCTTTTTGGAATGCCACTGGTGATGGTTAAAGGAGTTTCTTCCCTGTTTCTAACCCATGGGCATGTGTTGGTTCTGCCAGTCCAGACACTGCACTGTGTGGAGACATGCAGAGTCACTGCTTGGCCCTGCCCTCAGGAAGCTTACACGCTAACAGTTTACAATGTGGTGAACCAGCAAGCCCAAGCGGCCTGTGGGAGCCCTGTGAGAATGACCCAGCGAGAACAGCAGGTGGGATGGGGCCAAGATCTCTCCAAGAGGCACCTGGAGACAGGACAGAGTGGGTCTGGATGTGTCAAGAGAGAGGGAGAGGTGGAACCACGCAAAAGGCCATGATGATTACATCGGAAGTTTGGGGATCAGGCCAGTCATCAAAAGCACAGACTCATGACTAAGTGAAGGGGCCCGGGGCTGGTTGGGGCCCTCCTGGTTGGGGTTCACAAGCCTGCCCTTGACTCCTTTGGTGATGGAGAGATAGTAAAAGGTACTGAGATGCTGAGTGTGCATTTCGTAGAAGAGTAATTTGACAGAACTTTGATGCACTGAGTGAAGTATTTTCAGTACTGAACAGAGTGATGGATTGAGAGATTTTAAGGTCTTTCGAAGCAGAGCCTGTGATTCTAGAATGAAAGACAAGGAGTGAAATCAGGAAATGATTGTAATAATCCATGGCGAGGGGGAGAAAGGATGTTGGTTTTTTTTTAAACAGCTAATTGACCGACTTCTTTGCTGGATACTAAATCTCGCAAGAAAAAGTAAGCCCAGGAACGAAGAGGCAGCTGGGCCACGTTGTGTGATCTCACGATCCCCACCGCTAGGTGGTGGACCCCTGGCTTCCTCCTCAGCAGGCAGAACACGTGTTAGGGGTGCTGGCAGGCCCCAATCTACCAGACCAGCCCTTCACTACTCAGTCTGCACCTTGGCAGCAAGCCACTAAAAAGGGGGAGGAGGCTGGAACAGTTATTCATGACTTTACCTTCACAGGTCACATGCTCAAGGTCATCAAGAGGAAGCAGTGTGAACTACTCTCTCCCTCCTCCTGAAGCCGAGGGAAGATTCTGAATCAAGAGCCTGCATAGTTGACTGACCACAAACTGTGGGAACTGCTGAACTTCAGAAAGGCAGGAAATCACTATGAAGCCCAGAAAAAACAAGTTGGAAAAACAGCTCTCCATGTTTACTGCCCATTAGAGATAATTAGTCTAATAGACTGGCTTTTTTCTTTCTTAACCCAATTCCAGTTTGTGGCATCATTTTGGGAGAATCCTTATTGTAGGAGAAAGAGATTTACATGGACACTGGAAATAATATACACTGGTTACAGGCAGGCCGATTAACTGAACAAGGTAATTATAATCATTTCCAGAACATCTTTACTGTAGTGCTAAGATAATTGGTTTATATTTATATCCAAAATGACCTTTCCCACAGCTCTAAAAGCTTAGTGATGTTCACTCCATAAATGAAGAAGGCGTGCACATTACACGCCCCCAAATCCTATTCTGGTGTTTTAATCTGACATGTCAACAGGGCCAGGGGCCCCTATTATTGGGCTCAACAGCAATAAAAACAAAACAAAACAAAAAACTTCCATATACTCGGAACATACTGCCATAAACAGACTTAATGCAACAGAGAAAATATTTTGGTGGTGAACATTTAACAAGCTCCTACCAGAAGCCAGGACCAGCCCCCCTGGCTGGTGGAGGGGAAGGTTGGGGGTGGAGGAGGGCAAACGCAGAGATAAAGGAGGCCCAGGCTGGTCCCCTTGATGCTCACATCTCCCTCTGGTGCAGAATGGGGTCTCAGTGGACCTGCGCACAGGTCAGGCGAGATCCGGGAAGTGCTGTATTAGGCAGTGCTGTGGGACAGGCTCATGTCACTGGGTCAGGGGCTCAAGTTCTCAGAGTTTGGGAGAAAGAACAATGGCAGCTTCAATGTAAATGTAAATTGTTTAAAGCCACCAGGCTCCCAGATACAATCTGTATTATAACTAGCTATAGCTTTGGGCCAGTTATGAATGAATCTGAGGAGCTGAGTTACTGGTGTGCCGGCGGGAGGTCAGGTCAAAGGGCTCTCAGACGCTGGGGTTTTCTTGATTCATTTATTGGCAAATGACAAAGCCTCTCCCAGGTCAGATCATACAAAAGTAAATGGTCTACCCCAAAGGTGTCAACTGTATAGAAAGAAAAGCTGATGAAGCATTATCTGTCCCCCCAAGGTCAATGTTAAGTGCATCGGTGTGGCAGGAAAACAGGTGATTTTAAGCTGTATATGTATTTATTATGTTTCTGCTTATACTGTGAACTTTATCAATAGACAGTTTTCTTACTAACTCTAAGTCTGTCTTCTGGCTTATATTTCCAATTATTTATTTCTTAACTTATTCTTCTTACATAGTTCATTTTTTATCCTTATTCTTACATAGTTTTTTGACTGCAAAAAGATACATACACATACTTTTTTACAACAGTATAAAATTATAAAAAAACAAAAGGTAACCTTCCCCAAAGAAGCGCCTGTAAACGTGTGGACAGACTTCCCTCCAGATGTTCACTTTATGCACAGACTAGGCCCATATATATATATTACATTCAAACACAGAAAATGACATATAAATGCAAGATAAAATAGGAACAGCCTATTCTGCGCCCAACTCTCTTCAAAAATAAACATTTTGGTGGCAGGAGGACACTGATGATAGCTGCCTTCACGGAACGTGAGCACCAGGAGCCCCAGGGATCGGACCCACGTGTGTGGGCTGACGCCGGGGGCCGGGGCAGCGTGTGGACACGTGGCAGGTTACAGTGGCTGATGACAAGGCACTTTTATAAGGAAAGAAGCTGCTTCCTCAGCAGCCTTTCTCAGCGGCCAGCCCACGGCCTGCCTCCCTGGGCTCCACACCACCTCTGGCGCTGCTTAGACCCTGCCAGGCTGGGGACGGCACCCCGGCTGGGGGCGGGGGCTGCAGGATTGGGAGGGTCCCAGGCTGTTGGGCCGGGAGTACCTAAGGGAGCGAGCCGGGGTTCTGTAAAGGCAGAGTGACCCAAGGGCTGAGCACGTGCGTGGCAACTGCAGCGGACATGGCCCAGGCCCGGGCAAAGGCGGCCAAGACATCCCTCCACTCCGGGCGTGTCACGTGGTAGTGACCCCCAGGCAGGCCTGGCCCTCGAGTCCTACTGTAGAGGTCGAGGCGCAGACAGTGCGGGCCTGGGCTGCCAGAGGGTGGCAGGGGTCTGGTGAAGTGCACAGTCTTCAGAGGCAAAACTAGTGGGGGGCTCCGCTGGGTCAGCAGTGAGAGAAAGGAGGGGGGTGCTGGTCCCTGTGTGGGGGCTGGCCTGCTGTGGGAGTGAACGAGGCCAGAAAGTTGTGCCCTGCAGTGGGCAGCCTGCTCCGGACAAGAGAAGCCGCCCATGAGTTCAGCTTTCTGGGGCCACGAGCATGGGTCACCGCAGGCAGGGAGCCCTGCTTTTGTTTCAGTCATCTGGGAGTCTGGGGGTCGGCCCACCGTCAGCCACCTCAGCACCGGGCCGCGCGCCAGGCCGGGCTCCTCACTGGCCGTCGAATCTCTGCAGCCGCTGTCTCCTCATCTCCTCCTCCGGGGAGAGCCGGAACCCATAGGGCGGGGGACTGCTTCTGGAATTTCCTGCAGTGAGAAGCACAAGGAGAATCAAACTTGCCCAACCACCACTCTGACGCTGATAGCGTACTCTGGGGGAACAGTGTCACCTCTATTTTGGCCTGAAACAGAAATAAGACAAGTGCAATTCACCGCCAGCTGTCAACACGGAGTTTGACTGGACTCCCCTTGAAGCTTCTAAACAATCTCCCCTGTTTTCTTCTCCTGCTCTGTAACTCGCATCACCTAACTCCACGAGGGCTTAGTTTGTTTTTATGCCCAGGACTAATTTGTAAGCTGGTTCCTCACGCTCTCTGTATCCTCCTGGCCCTCCTCTGCCAGTGGGGATCGTGCCTGCTTGAAACACCCTGGACTGCAGAACAGGGGCAGCGGCGCATCGGGGCCAGTGTCTGGGCAGGTGGACAAAAACACAGCCCTAATCTTTAAAGATCGCATGAAGGACCACGGGATTCATCACTGGCGGGTTCTCCAGGGACCACACACACACCAAAAATAGAATGAACATGCTACAAGCCTTTCAAGTTGCTATGTAAAAACACCCTTCCAGGTTAGTGGGGAGTAACGAAGGAATGAAAGGGGCACATCGAGCACACCCACGTCTTCACGAGGCAGCCACGCAGTGTGTCACGGACTGCCGGGGCAGGTTTTTAAGCCGCGAGTCCGATTTTAAGCCTGTGGACCACAAGATGGGCCCTTCCCCTCCTGGTCCTCTGCTAACCTGCGCACTCGCTCTGAGAGGTCCTCTTGCACCATCTGCACACCCAGAGGTCTTACTAGCTCCCGGGGCCCTGACCGAATACCCCGGCCTCTAAGCACCCACCTGCTATCAGCCTGCACCCCCTCCTCTCAGGGGTCCACTGCACCAGCCACATGCTCCAGAAGGGCCACGCACCCCTCCCCCACTCCTCAGCAGCCCAAGCAGCAGCCTCAGGCCCTGCTCTCCCCCAGCACCTGGGACAGGCCTGGCCACCCAGGAGCTGCTCTGTGAAGGCCAGGGCTTCACGACTGACCAGCACCTGCCAGGGCTCCTCTAGCCCATGGAGACTCTGGAGCCACAGCTGGGGCGAAACACGCTGGGCGCACTGGCCTCATCAGGAAGGTGGGCGGGGCAGGGGCTGGAGCCAGGAGGAAAAGCAAGGAAGGGCAGATTTCTGCTTGTTCTGGGCGGCACCTTTACAGGTACATCCACCTGACAGTTGGCAGGACTCTGCTGGTCAGAGGTCGGAGCAGCAGTGCGACGCTGGCCCAGCGCTGGGACCGCAGTAGCCCGAAGCTACTTCTTTGCTGGCTAGTGCTCAGCTGTGTCTGGCCTCCTTTCCTTTGAGGTCCAGGGAAAAAACCCCAAGGAGGCCTTCCTGACTAGGACACCCCAAGTGAGCTGGCCAGAGAGCCCGGTACTCACTCCCACAGGGTGAACTCTTACGCAGTTTCTGTTTGATACAGTGAAATATGTGTCAATTTATCAAGTCTCATTAAAAAGTGATGTTCAAACACAACATAGGCTTGTAAGACTTTGACCATAAAAATTTTATAAACACTTGGGAGATTTGAAAGTATTGCTGGCTGTGTTTTTTGCCACATGCACTTGGAAAGGAAAGGAATGCTCATTGTTCAGAGAGGTGGGTACTTTGAAGTCACAGAGAAACTCGTGAATCCAATCGCCATGAATTTATGGCTGAAAATTGCTTCAGACGATGAGATGCAGACCCTGGTTGTCTTTTATAGTTGTTTTGAACAAGACGGTCCTTCACTGCACTTCTGAGTGCAGGCCAGCTGGGCAGGGAGTGGTTAGGACTGGCTGCAGGCAGAGTCCAGAGCAAGTCAGACGTGGCAAGTTGACTCCAGGCCATGGGACATGAGACGGCGAAAGGGCTCAGGCTTCCAAAGGGAATCACCACGTAACAAAAGAAAAAGCCGAAAACAAATGTTTCCAGAAGGGGAATTCGGGGAAGGATTAGGAGAGGCTCCCGGCCAGAGCAGCCAGCACAGATGCTCCCTGGACCCAGTCACAGGGCCGAGAAGGGCAGCAGAGCCAACGGAAGGGGCCACATCCACGCGCTTGAGGAGAACTCACAGCGACCCGGAACTCCTGACTGGCACTGCAGACCCCGCACGGGCCCACGCCCAAGCACAGACTTGGCCCTTTCTTTAGGTGGCTGACACACGAGTGGACATTTATCTGTCTTAAATTCAGTTATGAGGATGATTAAAAATAGATAAAGGGGCCCTCCCTGGTGGCGCAGCGGGTTAAAGCACAGCACCGAGAATCTAAAGCCGCTTCTGCATGAGTTCGATTCCCGCCTGCCCCGGAGGTGACCACATGGCGCGGCAGACCTCTCCTGACCTGCCCGCTGCTCCCCTCAGCAGTGTACTTCGTCAATCTGCCTGTTCTGTTCCCCGCTCTGTCTCTGGTGAAGCCTCTCACCGCCCCTGAGCCTCTGGCCTGTACCCCAGTTCTGTACGCACAAATAAATAAATCTTTAAAAAAAAAAAAAAGATAAAGGAGACAAAAGAACAGCAGCCACTCTTTTGCCTAGAGGTGCCCTAGCTCAATTAACTTTTACTTCCAATGTGGCAATCAAAGAGGTTCAGAGAGCATTAGGGACACAGCTCAGGCTGTGAGACAGGCAGAGCTACAGAGACAGGCAGTCAAGACCTAACCAGGTCTTCTGACAGAGGCCCTGGCTTCCGTCCCACCGTCACTTCTTACACAGTGACACGCGGCTACCCTCTCACCGGCCTCTGCCATCCACAGTGCCCTTTCCTACATGGCCAGGTGAGCAGCTTACTCCTATATTAGAACAGAAAAAGAAGATCCAGCCTTGGTATCCCCAATCTTGCGGGACCTGCTGTCGCCACAGGCCTGACGACAGAGCCCGACATTGGCCCCCTGAAGCAGCATGGCTATTGGAGTGGCTCGGCTTTCTCCACAGAAGGCCTTGGGCGTTACAACATGACAACCGCCACCACAGCCACGAGGCCTTCTGACTTCACAGGCGCTTCGCATCCTTCCAGCACAGTGTTTCCAAGGAAGTCAAAGCCTCCCTGGCTGAAGAGCGACTCTGGCGCTTCATTTCAGGTTCTGAACGTTATACTGGCTTTTTTTTTTTTTTTTAAAGATTGATTTATTTATGCACATAAGAACTGGGGTACAGGCCAGAGATACGGGGCGGGGAGGTGAAAGGATTCACCAGAGACAGAGCAGGGAGCAGAACAGGCAGATACACTGAAATACACCGCCGAGGGGGGCAGCGGCGGGTCAGGAGAGCCCTGAGTGTCAACTCCCTGGCTGGGGAGAGAACTCAGGTTGCAGTAGCTGTGGGCAGCTTCATAATCCTGCGCTTTAACCCGATGTGCCACCAGGGAGGGCCCATGATGCTGGTCTTAACCCCAGTTCAATTTTGTAAAGGAAATCTCTGCAAATTAATCTGATATTTCAGAGACAGGGCCAACGCTGGCGGGAGGCTGTGGGTTGGGCCTTGCTGGGATGGGCTCCCTGCCACCGCACTCAGGTGGCCTCTCTCTGGCTTCCAGTGCCTCACCTTCGCCCCCATTTCTAAGCATCCCTGTGTCACGTGACCTGGCACTGCTCTCCATCACTGCCAAGACAGTGCAGCGCACAGCTGAGACCTTTTTCTCTGGAAGTCAAATCAGGCAACCAACACTTAACGGCCTCGGTGAAAGGCCCTGCTCCGATGCACCTGGAGCAGAGCATTAGTATTTATGAGCCCTGCCTCTGTGCTCTTGTAAATAGAGGTCAGCCCTCAATTTTACTCAAAGAAATAGTGCGCATGCCTCCGAGAACCCCAGGAACAGCACCCAGTTTAAGACAACTTAGCTCAATGATAGTCGTGAGATCCCAAGATTCATTGATTTGTGGTTTTTGATGAGACACTGTTCCGTTCTCCATCCTCATGTATAATGCAGTAACCTCTGCATTTTACATCTAAGGGAGAAGCAATTTCATCTTGGTAAGAATTGCTAAATGAACGCCAGGAGGAGATGGCCATTTTCCCTCCTGTTCAGCCTCTTTGTGAGGAGCGCGGTTTCACTTGCTGTATTCATGGGCCCGGGGCCTGATGAGCGCACTAGACCAGCAGTGGAATTATGCGAGAGTGAAGCTACCGGTGGCCTAACTTTCCCTTATATTAGGAAGTTGAAGCGGCAATCACTTTAAGTGAAGTTCTTCTTTAAAAGACCAGGAAACCTCTAAATAAATCACCAGGGCGCCCTGGGAATTCTGTGTCAGATGAGGGCTGCAGCGAGGGGACCCATCATGTTCTCCCTGAGAACGATACTTTATCATAATTCTGTGAGTCACAGGCTTCCAAAACGCCTTCTGTAAAGGATGTTTTGCTATGTCAGTTGCAAAGACCAAAAGGACCTACAAAAAATCCTAGACTTTCTCAGCAAGACCTTCTCTGAGGAAGGGAAGAGCCCAAGGTCCTCAAAACCACTTTTCTTTCTGAGAACTAATAATGCCCCTGTTCGTCTGGCCAGCTGGCTGTCTACCTCTTTAAAAATAGCCGCAAACTCATCTAAAACTTCATTACATTCACACAACTGGGTGTTTCATTGGGTTTACAAGAAGGTAACATGTATAAGTGACTTGAGAGAGAACTCGTCACATTTCTTCCAGACCAGTCAAGTCACAACCCTGGGCATTTCGTGAACAGCAACTGGAACCTCAGGAAGGGAGCTCGGGATTGACAGCACCAGTCACCTGCCTGGCTCCTGTCTCCACCACCTGTGACTTCAAACAGACTCGAATCCAGTTAGTGATTCACGTAACCTAAAATGCAGTCCTTTGCGCCAGGTCTCGTGTTTCTTACAGGAAAGATGTTCTGGTCTGACGTCTGGAGCACAGAGGAAGCCCAGGGACCCGCGAGAAGGCTGTGAGCAACTGCAACCAGCCCACTTTACTCTCCCCTTCTACAAATAATACACAGTGCTTAATTTTCATGAACTTAACACATGGGCCCATCGAGAGGAAAACCCAGACAGCT